ATATACCGGAAATGGAGGAGGGGGGAGGTAACTACAATTATTAATAAACGCATTTATATGTTGTAGAAAAAGTCACAAAATTCTAAGAAATTGTGTCATTATACATATACATAATTATGTACATACATAAATACACTTTTCTAATTGGAATTAAAAAGCAGTCATAATGACTTCCTTGGACAATCTAGTGTTAAAATGTTATGTACGACTCGCGGAGTATCGATTTAGAAATGAAAATCAGGGCCGGAAGCAAGAATTTACGTCTTCATCTGAGTACGAGGCATAAAATTCTCACGCCCCCATTCTGTTCCGCGATCTAGTTAAGATATCAGGATGTATGCGAACAAGATAGGAATAGCGAAGAGGAGGCGTCGTTCCTCAAGAATGTAAGAAGCGAAAAGATGATGACGACGAGTAATGATAGATCGTAACGCGTAGACACGCGAAGATTACGGAGATTAGAGCCGTCCCACAAGTGGGAGCGGCGGGAATGTAAAGTTGTTGCTTTGTTACCACGGTAAACAGAAGGAAAGCGGTGGAAATTAGTCGTTCAGCTAGGGCCAGTGCCAGGAGTGGCACCGTGATAATTAGGTTTCACTCGGTTCGCTTTAATAATCCAGGCAACATGCAAAGTGCATTGCCGGGATCCTTGCGTCCGTGAAAGCGTACGACGGCGAAAGTGTCTGGTGTGCGTGACCAACGGGAACGTTACCGCAGGTTGGCCGCGGCGGGTGACAAATTTTGCAAGGACAGCCGGAATTATTAATGCCTTTTCCGCGAAGGAACCGAGACGAGGCGCGAAATTAGTAAGCTCGAAAGCGGTACACGGCGCCCGCTACAAGCGAATTCCAATCGAGATAATGAAAATTAACGACGTTAAAGCAACGTCACGCTCGTAATTAATTATCGCGGCCCGTTTGCTCGTTGTCGATCGACTCTTGCCGCGGCGGACTCTTCCCTTCCCACAGGGAAGGACCATAATCGCGATATAATATCAATCCTTCATTAATTCGCCGAAGGACGGCCCCGCATCGAAACTCTTCTCTGTGCAACGGCGACGAAGCTGATACTTAATTCCTCAAGACCCTTTCTACGTACACTTATACAGGGTGTTCGGTTACTGATCCCAAATAGCTTAAAAGCTGATCTCAGAAACGAAAGTAAAACAAAAATCAAGAATAAAAATAATTGCTTTCGAGGATCACTCGCTAAGTAAAATCAATTAACAATTACTGATTACTTCGACTTCCAGAATCAATCCTTGAAATTCTTATCAGTCGAACACCCTATGTATGCACAAGCCAGCGGCTCTATGAATTATACATTACGTTGCCGACACCCTCACCGCGAACTTTCTTACGGAGAATGATCGTTTTTCTACTGAGCAAGAGACATAAAACAAATAAACTTGGTTCTTAATAAACTGCTCTTGAATCCTGTCGCGAGCTACGAAAAATAATCTCTCAGAGGTGGATAGTTCCAGTTGTAAGATGTAAATTGTATGTAATGAAGTTTTAAGAAGCGTGACAAGTAATATTTCAATCATACATCAGTCATATAGTATTGAAAGATACTTAAAAAGCTGGCCTAATTTCATAAACTTTGAGGATGGTAAGTTTCGTATGAAACACATAATGGACACATAACACATAAACACATTTGAAGGAATTAAATGATCACCAAGAATAACATGAATATCGATCAATGTAAGTGAACTATATTACAAAGTAATGTGGATACAAAGGGAAAATAACGTGGAACGAATTGTTTTAAATATTGAAAACTCGCTTGAATTTATAAAACACTGGTGTCGTCATGAACACGTCTATTATTAGCTTCTGTGCATCTTTCGGGTCTGGCTCCGCTTTTAAAACTGTCGTTTCTTTGTACAACCACGAAGCTTCAGCACTTCCCGCCTTTACCCTAATACGCTTTTTCACTATATTTCCGCTGTTCGTAATCTCTTTCTCTAACTTCATCCGTAGCAAATCGATACCCGTCGACTTACTCGCGGAAACGACAAACGTGTCGTTCGGTATCGTTTCTTTGAGATCATCATCTTCAATCATATCACATTTATTTGCTACATTAATTATCATTTTGTTCTCATCTACTAACGATGTTATAGTTTTCTGCACGTGCTGAATCTGAGCTTCGGCGTCGGGGTGGCTTATGTCAAATACGTGAATTATAATATCCTATAAGAGATGAATAAATTAATTTATTTACTTTGTATTCGGATGAGATACAAGTGAGATTATACGTACTGCAGTCAGAGCATCTTCTAAAGTTACTAAAAATGGTTCTATCAAAGTTTCTGGCACGTCTTGAATAAATCCTATGGTATCAACGTACAGTACTTTTAATTTATTCAGAAGCAATCCCTGATGTACAGTTGTGTCTAAAGTAGCAAATAACTTGTCTTCAGGCTGCAACGAAGCATCTCCTGTCAATGCTTTTATCAAAGACGTTTTCCCAGCGTTTGTATATCCAACAACAGCGATGCTTGGGAAACCATAACTCTGCCTCTGTTTTTTTATCATGTGTCTATGTTCTTTCAGTTTTTTTAATGCAGTTCTTAGTTTCTTCTCCCTGCTCTGAAGAATGTTCTTCAGTTTCTCATTGAAGTTTATACGTCCAAGACGATAATCGCTCAACTCAGTCATTTTCTTTTTTATATACGGGATTTCTGCCAAAGCCACTTGCAGTTTCGCCTCTGGAGTCTTCGCGTGCTCACGGAAAATATGGATTACTAAGGAATAACGATCGAACACTGGCAACTGGAAGGCGTTCTGCAGCTCAGAGATTTGTATAAATTTTAGCAAGTTCGTGCTAACGAATATAGCCGTAGGATTTCCAGAATTTGCAATCTCCGTCTTCAGTGATACCAGAGTTCCTGAGCCAACCAACTGCTTCTTTTCCAATGACATTAATGGAACGAGTCTTTCTCCAACGACAGTCCAATTTGGCAGAGTTTTGACTAGTGTTACCGCTTCTGCTAACTGCAGATTAGGTGTGGTGTACCTTTTCTTCTTAGAACCCCATTTTATATATGGTTGTATCACAAATACCCTGCGCCCAAAAATCGGGTTTCCTAAATACTCTTGAGACAGTTGCGTGTAAGTGTGCTTCTCCTCATCGCTCTCCTCGTATTCCTCAAATATATCATCAGATTCATTCTGATGCCACCGAATAGCACTCACTACATCAAACTTCCTCTTTCTACTCACTATACACTGAGACTTATGTAAAACGTGAACGAGTCTTTTTAGGCACTGCATGATTTAATAATCATAAATTGAAGAGTATTAAAAATAATATACATGAAGCTATTTTATAACCTCACATGGAGTAGTTTAACCTAACATACCATTTAAGTTTAAACAATATATACACACATATATACATGTATCTATAATATTCGTTTTGTATGATTCTTTTACTTAAGTATTTAATAAATAATATACAGTCTATTAATATTGTAATTATTATATCTTAATCTACGTAACCTAACCTATCATAGTCGAATTCTTGTAAATCAGTAGAGAATACGTATCGTTTCATAATAATATTTCCTACCATAATTCTACTTTTTAGTACTATATTTACTGACATCCATTTTTAACAAATTAAATCATTTTCGCAATTTTTCAATAACGCATTATAAGCAGTACGCCACTTCTTATTTCGTAATTAACGTTCTAAAATAATTATTACCGTTCTTGCAATTGTTCTTATGCAATATTAATGAACAAATCGCATTTTATAATTGTTTTCCTTGAGATGTGCTTATTTTTCGCGGTCTGAGCCGAAGACTAGACATATAAACCCACGTATAAACCGAACAGATGTTCCTGCCACGTGACTAGCCACCTTATCACTGACAAGGTGTCAAATAGGACAATATCCACTGCGAACTGTAACTCTCTATGAGAAATTAAAGACAAAACTTGATGAATCTCGCGTAAAAATGGAACCTGGGATACTAACGAAGGTCTTGTCCGATTTCCTAACGACTGTCGACGGCGAATTAAGTTTGCACAAGGGAGAATACTTCCTGGTAACGTGATAAATATATGTGTGACATAAACATTTCTGTATAACCCTATTGGAATCCCTATAAGAATTGCATTAGCTTGTTTGTAATATCGAAATAGGTGTACAGCATCGTGGACAAGCATTGGTGTTATGGGGAATCTCGTAGGAGAACAGGAAAATTCCCATCGAATTATCTGCACAAAGTGGAAATTCCACCCTTGCACGATACTCAATCTTTATTCGTGTCGACTGCCTCCTTTCCAGGACAGCAAGAAGGAGACCTATCCTTTGCTCAAGGTGCTCATAGGCATGTACGATATTTATTATCGACGCCTGATTAACTTATCAAATGTTTTGTGGTATAGGAGAAATTATTGTTGGGATACAAGATGTTGGATCTGGATGGTACTTAGGTCAAATAGGTGATAGGAAGGGTATTTTCCCTCTGACCCATGTATGGCAACTTGATACCAAATTACTAAAGGTATGTGAGCTTTGTAAATAGTAAAAGTTGAGACAAGTAGAAACTGTATGATTTCTGTCATTTTCAGAAAGGTTTAGAGAAAAAGACTATAAGAAAGAAAGCCAGGATAAAGGCGAATTTAAAAGCACAACTTGATGGGGAACTCGATTTAGTGGAAGGTGAAATAGTTACTGTTACAGAAGTTCTTGGCGATGGCTGGTGTTGTGGAATAACCGAGAATGGTAAAGAAGGGACGTTCCCAGAAGGATTTATATCTTACATAAGCGATGACAGTGACCAATTAGATACGGCAGTCTTAACTGAGAATAATAGTTTTCCTTCCCCGATTACTTATAACGATAGGAAGTACACGAATATTGAGAAAGCTGACTCATATAATGAAGAACCTGCACCAAATTATTATGATTTGTACCCTGACATTCAAGAAGCTTCCTCGGATATATCAAAAGTTTCCCAAGACACCAATAATTTAAATGCATTAGATTTGAAACCGTATGCTATAACTTTATATCCATTTAACGCTCAATTTCCTAATGAGCTCAGTTTCGCTGTAGGAGAAGTGGTGCATCTTATCAAGCACATAGATTCCGAATGGATGGAGGGAACAATAGATAATCAAAAGGGAATATTCCCTATATCCTACGTTAACATCATAGTAGACTGCAACGAAACAAACAATAAACAGAATTTATATGATCAAGAGCCAAACGCTGTTCAATATAATGAATTAATATCTGGAACTCAAGCAAGAGTCGAGTACACTTTCAAGGCTCAAATGGACGGAGATTTGAACGTGTTTGAAGGTGACACTGTTAAAGTGATCAGCATGGCAAACCCAGATTGGGTCAACGTCGAAGATCAATCGGGTAAAATTGGTTTGTGCCCAAGAGCATACTTGAGTCCCTTGTCTGCGGACTCGTCGGATCTTATTTCAGACACACTGGAAGATTTTGTTGTAATACGGCACGATGAAGCAATTTCCAATAAATCAAAAGAGCAGAAATCGAACAGGCTCTCGGAACCGCATAGACCGGCTCCGCCAGTACCAGCACCGGGTAGAATACCGTTGCAGAAAGATGCCACAGGAGGAATTGAAAACTCGAGCGATGCCAATCAACAGATCGACATTGCTAGTAACAATAATTTGGATATTAAACAGAAGAAAGCGGACCAAAGACAAAACGTTATATCGGAATTAGTTATTACCGAGAAGGAGTACGTTCGCGACTTGAAATTAACGTACGAAACGTTCAATTTACACAATCCAAGCCAACTTGAATCTTTAGGAATAGATGTGGCTATTTTATTCGGAAATCTGTTTGACGTTATTCAAGTTGCCGAGGAACTATTAGAAATAATATTAAGGGCGATGAAGGGATGCGACGAAGAATTGCAAAATGTTGGTTCCTGCTTTACGATAATGGCTGAGAAACTGAAAAGCGTCTACGTGAAATACTGTGGAAATCATGAAGCTGCTTTAATTTTATTAAAAAGGGTAACTCGTGCATTAAATGATTAATTTCATAGTCCTTGACGTATGTTTTACACGTTACTATTTTCAGTATGAGAATAATGAAGAGATAATGAAAGTATTCAACAAAGGCATTGAAACGTTACGATACCAAGTGGCCTGCTTCGACATGAGTTCTATTCTTATAAAACCAGTTCAAAGAATATTGAAATATCCTCTTATTTTATATGAATTGGTGAAGGTATGTAATGCCATTATACTATAAATTCTTTTGGTTTGAAAACAAATAGTTATCTTTCAGTGTACCGATGATAATCATCCTGATAAACGTACCGTGGAAGAAGCGTGGAAAACTATGACTGCCGTCGCCAGTCATATCAACGAATATAAGCGGCGAAAAGATTTGGTGTCCAAGTATTTGGACAACGACAATACATTAATAAGGAAAATGGCTAAACTGAACATGCATTCCGTAGCAAAGATGTCCACTAGATTAAGTACGAGATTGTCCGCAAGTTTGGGATTGACAAACGTTGCGGTCGATCCAGAGTTCGAGGAACTCGAGAAACAATTTAGATCTGTTGAGAAATGTACCTTGCAATTAGCTAAAGACGTCGAGCAATGTCTCACGTATTTAAGCGACGAAGCTATCTCCGGAGAGGTGATATCGGACTTTTTAATTCAGTATTATCAAGGAACGCCGAACATCCAAGCGAAGAGACTTAGAGACATAAGATCCATGATCTGGTCGCAATTCGTGCAAGAATTGAAAGTATGTTTAAAGAACAGAGTAACCGCGCCGATCAACTTCCTAGCTATTCTATTAGAGGGACCTGCTGTTTTAATAACAAAAAGACATGACAAACTGTTAGACTACGATGCCGCTATCTCTAAAAGCGAAAAGTATAAAGAATCGAGAATTGTAAGTAACTGTTACGATTAACTATGATAAGAAATTATGAAGGATCGCTTTACTTTTTGTAGGCACAAGACGAATTGGCAACTGCTAAGTGCAACTATGAAGCTTTAACGAATCAACTATTAGAAGAATTGCCGATTTTGATTGACGCCGCGACGAAAGTTTTAGTAAATTCTATTAGTGCTTTTGCACATGCTCGTAAACTTCTGTGTGGCAAAATTACTAAGAGATATTTAACTGTTTGCGAGGTATTTCGAATTAATTAATCAATGCTTCTACGTGAAACTCATCTAATAATATTCTATTTGTAAAATATTTTCAGACGTCGACACGTTTATCGTCTCAAGATATTCTGGAAGCGTTCTTAGTCAATCATAATTTGTTATGGAATCAAATGACGCGTTTTACATTCGCCGGTTCGAATCCACGTATGGAAGAACCGGGATCTACTTGGGGCCTACAGAGCGAGGGACAGAAGCTTCTATTGAGGAACAAGTATTCCGCTGATAAGTTATACATTGTTACAGAAAATGTAGCGAGCACTTCGTCTTTGGACATGGGTGTTGCGCGCGGGACATTAGTCGCGGTAATTAAAAAACAAGATCCTATGGGTAACGCATCCAGATGGTTCGTGGACAACGGTGTTGTCCAAGGATTTTTACCTTCGAAAAGTCTGCACCTTCAAGTACCACAAGTAACGCAGCTACCTAACGAGGCTGATACCAAGGGTACAAATATTTCGTCCACGCCTGATTTAATTTGCATGGATTCTCCTGAGAGAGAACTGAAACTTACGTCTCAATCGCACCTGGAAGAATTGATGGATCTGGATGTTGAGAAAGAGGTGAACAAAGAGACTCACTGCTATGGCAATATTGAGCAAATCCCCAGAGTTCAGCAGTATCAAAATTTAAACTACGAAGTAAGTAGTACATTATATATAATTGAAAAGATTCTTGTCAAAACATTTGGCACTTACTACAATAATCTTTATGACAGTTCTACTATGCAGAATATGACTTCTCTATAAATACACCTGGAACGTTGTCAGTCGTTAAAGGGCAAGCGTTAAGGCTTGTCAGGCCTCACGATGAAAAAGGGAACGATGAATGGTGGCTTATGGAAGACCGTTATGGTAATAAGGGCTACGTGCCTCAAAATTATTTACGCGAACCACCGACTGGGAACCAATAAACTTAATTACGCGTTGAACGCATAGCTAATGAAACCTATGATATTTTAGTCCAAAGTATAATTAATCATAAAAATTTTTATCAATGTTGAATATTTAAATATTGACAAGCGTTAATGATGTTCTACTCTATTTCATAAAAGATATTATTGCTTATTGTACTTACGTTCACGTGCTTTACACTTAACACTGTACTTCCTCAGTATTTTTTATTACGTGTACATAACACTTATGTGAAACAGGTGAAAGATATGTGTATATAAATCATGTTTACATAATACAATACTTCTGTGATACTATTAATCTGTGTCACTTGAAATACTTTTCACGTTTTATTCTATTGAAACGTATTTTGTATAATATATATACAAATAGATATATATATTATACATTTTGTAATTGATTTTATAAAACTACGATATAAAAAGCGTTGATGACTACTATGGATTTTATTACATATGTATATGATAAATGCATATGTATACACAAACGTATTATGTTTATCGTTCTGTACTCAATAAATTATAAACGTACCAATAAATTATTGAGTAAATATGAGTTTGTCTAACATAATAATTAGCAGAAATCCCCCTTCCCGGTTATTGGAAAACGAACGAAGTGCCGCGCAAACTGATAGACATTACGAATCGTATAATCGTAAAAAAGTATAATTGTAGCGAAGAATGAGTAAATAATATGAAAAATTAAATGCTTTATAAGTATTTACCTTAGCGATACCTTTTTTTATAGATGCTTCGTTGTCATCGTAGGCTTGTAATCCCGGAATGGCGAGCGGCCGTTGAACCGAATTTGCGTCACACATATTTTTGTATGTTATTCCCACGCAGAAGTATAAATATTGTCACAAAACGTGCAGCAGCGTATTTTAAAGTATGTAACCATATATTCTTATGTATCGGCACAGTATTATGTATATATTTACGATTTTGAAACGTGTTGATGGACTTTGCGGCGCACAGCTCGATCTATCGCGCCACTCTTGTGTTCCCTCGTACAGAAGCACAAAACGATATATTCTCGATTCGTATTATTTCATTTTTTATTTCGAATTCCTACATCTGTTAGTAATTTATTATAAATAGGAAACATACTCGCGGTCGCGAATGAATATTACTGACTCAAACCAGACAAATGATTATTGATTTTATTTATTTAAACCGATTTTCCGTACTGGACATGATTATTGATTACGATTATCGATTAATGGGGGGCCATTTTCGAAATCGATTAATGACTGACCAATCACAATGCATTCAATTGTAACGGATTTTTAGCCGCGAGTGAGAATTTTGTAAGTGAGAATGTCAGTTTTGTTGTTGAAGTTTGAAGACGATGAACGCGGAATTCTTCCGTAGAAGGTTAGTAAAATAAAAATTGCTTGGTTACTTTTAATAGAAAACGTATCGGCTATATTATCACCATATTATAATACAGTTACTGTTGCAACGAACAGTCGATACAATAACGTTACAGTAACGTGTCTCTACACCGTTAAATTATCGCCTAGGTTTATATTAAAAAATACAAAAAAAGAAAAAGAAAAACGGCTACGTCTAAATAAAGAAAACAGTCTTTTAAGGTACAGTGACTTAATTGCAACGTGAGATACGACGTATCATTTTGCGTGTCGTGCTGCACGCGATCGGTTCACTTAATCTAACAATAAATTGCGCGATGCGTGTGTCTTTGTGTGTGTGTGTGTGTGTGTATAAATGTAATGTGTATGTTTGTGTGAAAGAGAGAAAGGAATACTGATACCTAAAGGTAATTAGCAAAAACGCCCACGAAAACACGGTGTTAATACACATTCGATGAAATTAATTCTCGCACCTTATGAGATAATTCTTATAAAGTTTACATTATTTGCAGAACACAAATGAACGTTCACCGGACCTACTTCAAACTGCATACCGCTGTCTACGAGGCATAGTATTTAAATATTATTTACCGTCTATGAATATTTCCGTTGTTTGTTCAAATTTGTCGACGCGCAACGCAGACTGGCATTTCGTGTCCGGAACTTCTCTTGGTAATAGTCGTTTTAATTGACAGTAAATACTTAACAAGGTTTTACACGCTCGAAACTGAAGCTGAAACGGGGGTGAGTTTTGTTATCGATAACGCATAGAACAACGACACGATCTCTATAAATCGATCGAAAACTTCCGATAATTTCCGATACACAATAATAATAATATGTAAATGTATGTATCTACGATGGATACACAGTGACGTATCATTTAACTGGCTTGCTTCCTTCCTGCTTCGAGCAACAATGAACTATACCGTCTCGTGTTAATGGTTCAACGAATCTAACGCTTCTCGCACATATGTATATATATGTATGTATAACGAGCCCTCATCGAACAAACTTTCGTCCCGACGAGTCTGAAACAGCAGTGTCCTAAGTACCCTCTGACCCACATAGACTGCGAAGTCTAATCAATTAAGATTAATTCAACCCTTGTCTACGCTTCCAATCATCGTGAAATTCTCGTTTCTTGCCGATTCGCGCGGCACGCGATATTCAACTCGAACAATTTCTTAATCCGCTGGATAGAAGCGTAAAATCGCGCGTCCTTGGATCTCTGAGTGGCACAGTTTACGTACGACGTCGATGGCATCTTCGGCGGGGTAAACGGTGTGCGGTGGAGGCTCGATTTTACCGGACGCCACCAGCTCGACCAATTCGCGAAGCTGCTCTAAGCTTCCCTGCTCGACGGACTTCAGACATATCTGCCATTCCTCTGCGCGTCTGCTGAATTTCGGTAGGAGCCGATCGGCGACATCTTTGATCACGAAGACCACTCCGCCTTTGCTCAGGCACTGCATGCTGCGATGAAGACTACGGGAGGTAGTGCCGAAATCGATAACGATGTCCACGTGGCCCTGGCAAGCGTCCATGGTCCGCTCGATCAGCTGCTTCTCGTATAAGTCCTCGCTCCATTGTACAACGTTCACTCTGCACGGACAAAGAAAACTCCCAATGAGTATAACTCAGCGTCAGCGTCAACGCCCTGTATAAATCTGAGCATAGCTAAAGACGGTGCAATGCACTGATAATACCATTAATATTAGGCAAAAACAATACTGGCTATCAGTCATCAGCGTTATCAGATTAAGTAACATTTAATCGAAATGCACGATCCGACGAGGAAGATAAGGCAACAAGGAAACGATTCTAAATACAAACATAATACATATAATGCTAATTATGGAAGAGATAATGAGTGGCAAGAGGTCAATAGATCAGAGATCCTCGTTTTATCTTTGAAGTGTCAATACAATGAAATTGCTGGTAGAAAAATTACGATATAATTAAGCGAAATTGAAGAGATGTCATTAATCGTTCGGTTCAGAGATCAACGAGAAGAGACCGTGCGCACGATACGGCAATCAAGCCGAGCGATATCAGCCTTGTACCAATTAAATTAAACGATCAGGACAACTTACCGTTGGACTTCCTGGGCCATGGTCAGACCGTCATCCTTCAGCGAGGCGATCGTGATGGTAACGCGATCCTTCGTGTTGCTGAAGTGGTAAGCCGCGATTCGGAGAGCCCACAGGGCTAGGCCGCCCGTTCCGACGATCAAAATCTTGCAGACACTGTTCTCGCCTCTTTGTTTCAGCAACGTTTGGACGTGTTCGTGCGCGGCGAACACCGTGTTCATGGCTAACAGAGCACCGGCGGGCAGCATCGCGGCGACGCTTAGGGTCATAGTGTCGGGAATTTTGATCAGGTACTTGAGATCGTGTACGACCAGATATTCGACGTATCCATTCGGCACGCCTTCGTATGGGTAAAGAATTACTCGATCGCCGACTGTGTAGCCGCAGTCCTCGGGCACGTTCGCCCCGAGGGACTCGATCACACCGGCGACTTCGTAACCAGGGAAGAGAGAGGCGTCCCGATAGCCATGGTGCGGAAGGGACATGGGGAAGTCGCCTTCTACGGAAATATCCGTGGCTAGGCTGCTGCCGCTGGAGACCGACGTCAGACTAGTTAGGCTGGGTGACCGTCGAGGATGGTAGCAAGCACCTGCACACATCACTCGGATACGGGCACCGTTCGCTGGAACGTCCGGAACGGGCACGTCGAAGCTGAACACCCATTCGCGACCCGTCACGCTCGGGGACTCGATAGACACCTGCTTGCACAGCATCCTCTCTCTGAAATTATACAGAATGACATCCAATTACTCAACGCGAAAGGCAGGTTTGCTATGATTGAAGGGAAGTAAAGCGCATCGGTAATTTTCAAGGAAACGCAAGAAAGAGAACGTCGTTAACTCGGCGCGCGTTCTGTTTTGCCAGTCAGCTGTTCACACCGTTCATCGTTATACAACGAATCGAGCTAATCAATTCTACACTTGCGCATCGATCAATCTTCAGATTTTTAATTAATTTATTGAGAGGATTTAAAATGCGTGCATACCCGCTGCAAGGCGAACAGGCTTTGTGCGCAACTGGTGCCCTCGGTTCCAATTCGACGGGCATTTTGATTTCTGAGTCACAACTTCTTATCGCTATTGTTAAATTATGTTCGCACGAAACTCGATGCACGAATTTAAGATTTCTTCAGTCACGATGCTCACTCGATTAAAGTTAGAGACGTTGCAGAAGCTTGGATCGAGATAATAGAAACGGATCCTCGTAAGCTGACACAACAGATTCCTCTTGAATAGCGTAGAACGTACTAATCGATCCCGCTGACGCTCGTTCTCTTTTATACCCCCCGGCGAGCTTCCTCAAACGGGTCGCGTTAGTCATGGTAGGCAGGAAAGATACCATGGTAGGGGCTATACATAGTAGAAACGGAACGTGAGCAGGTGTGAGCACTCACGCGCCACGTGCACCGTCTGTTTTTCTCGTATACCAATCCTTGCATGCTCGTCCAGTGCGTCGTGATACACGCATGAAAGAGACGGAGATAAAACATTATTCTTCGCCTTCTATCATTTCGATGACGAGAGGTTTATCTTTTCCATCGCGTTACGTCAGGATTTCACCTGAACTTAAAAAGTGCTATGATGGACAGTCTCAATCATGCGAATCTAATAATATATCTGTTTACAGGTTGAGTTTGCGTGCTAACAATAATAGTGAAAAAGTTAGAATCCTCAGATAAGGTACACAACACTTATATCTCTGTTGTTTACGTCTTTAACGATGATTAGAGCTGAAGTATTGTCGATTGTCCACGCGCGCATTAGGGCTCCTGACACACGTCATTTCAATTTCCCTGATGGCTTTAAATATAGGAGGCATCAATCGATCATGTGCGCTTTATACTTAAAATGAAACTTTACCAAGCAAGTAATCGGCACGTACTCAAAGAAACGTAGGTATTTATACGTCTTTACTTTTTTAAAAAAGCGAACGTCATGCTGGATAAAGCAACAAAAGGGTTGCCTGACGTAACGTTTATAAAGACGCTTTACTAAAAACGTCTTCGGTGAAAAATCAATTTATGTACCCAAACAGTATACTGGGAAAATGATTATGCATCCTGCCAGGTTTTTCCTGGCCTTTAACATACTTTTAAGTCCATCGCCATTTAGTCTGACTTTTATTGGCTCGACCTCGGATATGCATGCGATTTGCTTTGTTTTTATGCGAATATTGCAAATCTGCGCGTTGTCACATCCGATAGTAGGAGTTGACGATATCTTTATCAATTCCCTATTGATGTATGTATATTGTGTATGTTTCGTATCGTAAATACACAAGTCTTGCCTGTTACGAGCATATAAACAGATTGATTTCGTTTTTAGATTCAGATAAGTCGGCACTTTAGTTTTATTTTCTACACTCCTCACATTGGAAGCTATCGCGAAATGATTTGGAACTGTCAACAGCCTCTTAGCCTGTAAGTTGCGCTCAATTGCCGTTTACATTGATAACATCGATATTGAACGATTTACAGTATTTGGAAAAATTAACAAGCACGTGGTGTCCATGTGACACACAAGCGAAAACATGTCGAAAGGGAATAGTAATTGCAAAGAAGCATCTGGTAATAAACCTAATAAATAGAACACTTGTGGCTCCGCTGTACTGCATAGGTGTAAACATTAGTAAGAGTAATTGGAACGACCCTGACATCAAAATGAAAAACATGTTCAGCTGAAAGACCTGAAATAATTATACAACGTTAAGAACTTAGAACCCACTTTCTGTGGAAAATATGTTCCAATTGAGGGTAATAGGGTAGCAAATTGAGTGTAGGAATAATACCAACTTCCGTTAATATGGTTTATTAACGTCACGCAGGCAACACCAACTGAACTCAGTATTTATAGAAAATTGTGGAATATAAAGTACTTGAGTTCTCAGCTTCAGAGTCTGAATCGTTCTAAATACATTTTTAGCAAGGGTTTATATCTTAGTTCTAGTAGGGAGCGAACGACCTCGGCCCTTATGATTATACCGGGTAGTCTAATAATTAAGCCCTTATGACTACACCGGGTGGCCTGGTTAACATCTAGATTATCTCCGAAAGTAGAAGATTTAGGAAAGAA